CTGCTCCTCCTATCCCCTTACAAGCTTCAAGTGCTTTTATCCTAGGGTAGTATCTCTGTCTCTCTCTCTCTCTCTCTCTCTCTTTCTCTCTATCTCTGTTTCCGCTTCCTCGTCTGCGTGTTGGAGGAGGAGGAGGTGAGGTGGAGGAGGAGGAGGAAGAAAGATGATCTCTTTCTCGCTCTCTCTCTCTCTCGCGCTGTCTCAGAGTCTCTGCCTCGTTCGTTCCCCCTCCCTTTGGCCTGCTTCCCCGCACACAAACACACGTGCACGCATGCAGCGCACACACACACACACACACACACACACACCTGTATATATATATATGTGTGTGTATATATGCACACGCACAAAGGCACAAGCGCACAAACGCACGCACACGCACGCACACACACACACACACACACACACCAACAACAACAACAACAACAACAACAATAACAACAGCAGCAACAACAACAACAACAAGAACAACAATAATAACAACAACAAAAACGAACAGACACACAAACGAACACACACACACACACTCATACAAACACACACGCGCGCGCACGCACGCACACACACACACACACGCACACATACACGCACACACACGCAAACAAACAAACACACACACACACACACACACACACGCGTGCGCACGCATGCACGCACGCACACACGGATGAGCACGCACGCACCACACACACACACACACACACACACACACACACACACACACACAAACACACACACACACATATACACACACGCACGCACACACGCACGTATGCACACACACAATCCTCAACGCACACGAACACGCACACACGCACACACACACATACACACACGCACACACATACACACACACACACACACACACACGCGCGCACACACGTATACACACGCACATCCACACACACACACACACACACGGATGAGCACACACACACACACGCACGCACGCACACGCACACGCACACATGCACACACACACACACACACGCATAAAAATTGTCCTGGCGAAGGTCCTAACCATATGCAGTTGTGGGTACCGTAATTGTGAATATCTGCTTCGGTGAAGCTCCCTATGGGGCCACGAAGCGCTGCACTGGGCGGGGGGGAACGCGGTACTGTGTGGGTGGTGTGCCGAATTGGGTTTCCGGGACGCATGCGGACGGTCCCACTGAGGGTTTCGGTGGAGCTCCCTATGGGGCCACGAAGCGCTCTACTGAGTGAGTGAAAATGCCAAATTGGGTTACCGGGACGCATGCGGACGGTCCCACCGGGGGCTTCGGTGGAGCCCCTTATGGGGCCACGAAACACTGCACTGCGCGGGTGAAAATGCCAAATTACTTTTCCCGGACGCATGCGGACGGTGGCACTGGGGCCCTGGGTGGAGCCCCCTATGGGGCCACGACACGCTGCACTGGGTGAGTGAAAATGCCAAATTGGGCCTCCATAGCGCTGTACTGGGTGGGTGAAACGCAGGGGGAAGGGGGAGGAGGGCCTCGAAACGCTGTACTGGGTGTGCGGGACGCATGCGGACGGTAGCGCTGGGACCTTCGGTGAGGCTCCTTATGGGGCCACGAAACGCTGTACTGGGTGTGCGGGACGCATGCGGACGGTAGCATTGGGACCTCCCTATGTGGCCACGAAACGCTGTACTGGGTGGGTGGAATGCAGGGAGGAGGGGGAGGAAGGCCACGAAACGCTGAATTGGGTGTGCGGGACGCATGCGGACGGTAGTACTGGGACCTTCGGAGGGGCTCCCTATGGGGCCACGAAACGTTGTACTTGGTGTGCGGGACGCATGCCCTTCGGTGGGGCTCCTTATGGGGCCACGAAACGCCAGGACGCCTGCGGACGGTAGCACTGGGACCTTCGGTGAGGCTCCCTATGGGGCCACGAAACGCTGTACTGGGTGGGTGGAACGCAGGGAGGAGGGGGAGGCCACGAAACGCTGTACTGGGTGTGCGGGACGCTTGCGGACGGTAGCATTGGGACCTTCGGTGGAGCTCTTTATGGGCCACGAAACGCTGTACTTGGTGTGCGGGACGCATGCGGACGGTAGCACTGGGACCTTCGGTGGGGCTCCCTATGGGGCCACGAAACGCTGTACTGGGTGTGCGGGACGCTTGCGGACGGTAGCATTGGGACCTTCGGTGGAGCTCTTTATGGGGCCACGAAACGCTGTACTGGGTGTGCGGGACGCATGCGGACGGTAGCATTGGGACCTTCGGTGGGGCTCCATATGGGGCCACGAAACGCTGTACTGGGTGTGCGGGAGGCTCATTCGCCCAGGATTCCAGAAAGGTTGGCGGTCTCTTTGGAGAGGCAGCGACCGATGCATGGTGCGACTTGCCTCAGTAGGACGTCCATTCCTTCCTCCTTCCACGGGTCGGTCTTTTCGGGTGGCTCATGGGAGTCTTGGGCCCTTGATGTATTTGTTGGAGGCCCAGCGTGGGGGGGGGGAGGCGAGAAGGGGCGGGCCTTCTCAGAAGGCTCGAAACATTTCTGGCTGAGACTGTTTTGCTTTATCACTTCGGGCCTATTCAAAGAACATCGGTTTCGTTCTTGGAACACTTCTGGGCTCTAGGACACTTTCGTGGTGGGCCTACAGGACTGCCGGGACGGTCGGTCCCTGCTCGATTCTCCTTCTCACTTCCCCCTGGGCGCGCCGCCGAAGCTGATTTTTGTTGGGGGGTCACAGCTCGGCTCTCTGGCGGTCGGCCCCTCGGGACGCTCGGGGCACCCCCAGAACGGGCGCCCTCGGCGAGGCGACGCGGCTGCTGGCATTCCGAGGCTGGAAGTCGCCAAGACCCCGGCGTGCCACGCAGTGACGCCCAGAAGTTGGCCCTGGGCTGCTCGACGGGGCCAGTCTGAGCCTCTTGGCCTCCTCGAAGGGGAGGGGGAGGCGGTGGAGGTAAGGGCTGGTGCAGTGGGGACACGCATCCCCCCCCCCCAAAAAAAAGCAACAAACAAGAAGAAAGAAAGAAACAAAAAAAACAGCCCAGAGATCCGAGGACCTGAGCAAACGCCAGCGGCCAGTGTCTGTCTGACTTCGGCGTCGAGGAGGCCCTCGACGGGCCCCGGGGCCGTCGAGGGCCCTGGGACTGCCGTGCGTTCGACGCGAACCGAACAGCACGGCATGGCACGGACACGCAGCAAGGGCGCTCTCGAGGGCGCGAAATTATTCGCGCTTCGCGCTGTGTTTTTTCCCACAGACTTGTGTGTGTGTGTTTTTGTGTGTGTGTGTTTTTGTGTGTGTGGTTGTTCCCCACAGTGTGTGCTTGTTTTGTGTTTGTTTGTTTCCCCCACGTGGTGTGTTTTGTTTTGTTTTGTTGTTTCCCCACATTCCTCCACATCCTCCTCTTCCTTCCTGGGCGGCGGCGCGAGGGCGCGAAGTCATTCGCACTTCGCGCTTCGCGCAGCGCGGAGCGCGAAGTTGGGAGCCCTTGCACGTGCACAGCTTCCACGCAGGCATGCGCACGCGCAAACGCACGCACGCCACGACAGACTTGCGCCACGCATACTCAGAACGTTGGCTATCTCATAAGCCCAGAACACAAAAGGGCGTTTCCCGTTCTTGTCCGGTAAGGAATTTCTCCAAATGGGCTTGCCCCATAGGAGTCCCAGCTCATCCGAAGTAATTAGTCTATAGAACCCCCCCCCACCTTCCAATGGACCCCCCCTCCTTTTTCCAATGGCCCCCCCTTTTTCCAATGGCACTTTGCTTGTTTGCTCTTGCGTGTTTGCTCTCGCTTGCTTGCCCTCGCTTGCCATTGCTTGCTTGCACTTGATCGTTGGCTCTTGCTTGCTTGTTATTTTTCGCTTGCGCTTGCTTGCTTCCGATTGCTTGCTTGCGCTTGCTTAATTTTGCTCCTCCCGTCCTCCTCCCGTCCTGCTCCCGTCCTCCGTTCGTCCTCCTCCCATCGTTGTCCTCCTGTCCCCCTATCTATTTGGAGGCAACGCTGGCTGATATGTGTCTCTCTGGGCCCCTTCGACACTCACAAACACGCACACCCACACCTTTCCTCCGTTCCCATGTTTTTCCCTCCTCCTGTCGGCGACGTGCGTTCGCGCCGCCAGTCTTAGTCAGCAGTACCGGATATAAGTGCCGTCCGCTCTACGCCTGCGGAGCAGGGACCTGTGGTGGACTTGCGCGTGTCAGGAGGGAGAAACAAGAAAACACAGGCACAAATCATCGGCGATCCCCTGGAGAACAGATGGAACATAGAAAAAGGTGGGGGAGAGACGAACCTCCAGAAAATATGAAAATGATCTGGGAATCCTGCCCCTCACTATGAGGCTTCAAACGGACTGCTTGGCTTCTGGCTCCTATCACTAGTAACCCTGTTCCAGGTATGGTTGGAGGCTCCTGAAAGTACTGGGGGTCGTACTTCTTGCTGTGTGCGTCCAGGGGCACCTGCGGCGCGCGCTTCCCGATGATCACCGCGCCGCGCCGGGGACGCGCGCGCGGCGGGGCCCCGCTCGCCGAAGACACAGACAGAGAAAACACAAAAGACAGCGCGCACGCGGCGCCCTCGCGGGCACCCCGGGCGGGGCGGGAGCCTCGCCCGTCGGGAGCCTCGAGACGGGGGCCAGTGCAAGCGGGGGTCCGCCAGGGCGCCGGATCCTGCCGGATCCTGCGAAGACCCCCTCTGGCTGACCCAAAACGACGCGAAGATCGGGACAAAATCGGATCGGGATAACTCGAAATCTCTGAGAATCGGCAGGTTTGGAGGATGTATTGGGCGCCGCGGCCGCTCCAGAGCGTTCCGGAACGCTCTGAGAGCGCTCCGGAACGCTCTGGAGCGATTTATCCCGATCCTAGCCCTGTTTTATGACCCTGGTGAGCGAGCCGCTCGTGGCCGCGAGGCGGCCGCACACATTGGCTGACCCGGGTCTGCGAAGACCTGCGTTGCAGTTTCTGTTTTCCTGCATGGCAGTTTCTGGTTTCCTGCTGACCCGGGTCTGGACTGACCCGGGTCAGAAGATCCCCGAGCCCGGAGGTGAGCGACGAGTGCCTCCGCGTCTCGTTCCCGATGCTGCCCAGATCGGGCCGCTCGGCCTACGTGCCGCTGACGGTGTGGTGGTGCGCCCCCCTTTGGGGGGTCGGGGGAGGCAGCATGTGTGTCCACGTCCACTGCAGCCCGGAGTTTCGAGCTTCCTTCCCCAGAGGCCCGAGGCGCACACTGGATGCGGACAGCAAACATCCAGCCCCCAAAGGCTCGACGTTTGTCCACATCCCGTACGCGTCGGCCTTTCCGGCGCCCCTTCCAAAAAAGTCCACGACGTATTGGGTGAGGAGACAAATGTTGCTTGCACGTGATGGGGGGAGTTCGGTAGCAAATCATGGGAGCTTTGCATGCCCTCGAAATCATGCTCTTAGAGCGCATCAGGATGTGCTAGCGTGTGGTAATCGATCAGCGTCGATTCGCAAGAGCCAACAGGACGTTATGGGAGGCTCCCACGAGTTGACACCGAAGGGGGAGGCCAGAGGAGGAAAGGGTACGCATACCGCTACAGTTCCTTCGTTTGGGCCTTTCCGGGCCTCCTGGACGGCCCTCGTCGTCACGGCTGGCTTCGCCCCGAAGTTCTGGTCATCACGCACCCTGGGAGAGGTCCAGGGAGTAGTGGTATCGATGCTCATTGCCCCCCCAGGAGGGGCAGGAGGTGGGAAGAGGGGCAGACGGCGAAGGAGCAGGAGGGAGGAGGGAGGAGGGCTGGAGCAGGGTTGGAGGATGAGATCGACGACGTCGGCGGCGACGACGAACACGACGGAATGAAGCAGGAGAAAGAAGGAGGGGGGGAGGAGCAGGAGGAACAGCAGGAATCACAGGAAGGTCGGGTCGCACGTGGCTCGGCAGAGGTGGCAGGGCTGTAGATCATTCGAGAGTGCGCAGGATCAGGCGCTCTTGCCTCTCGACTTCGCCTCCTTGGCAGTGTTGGCGGTGACGTCAGACTCGTGTTTCCTACTCGAGTCTGCTTCAGCGTTATACTTCGTGTTTAGGGTAAATGTCATCGGAGACGTCGGCGGCCCTCTTGCCACACGGCCTTGCCTTGCCGCGCAGAACTTTGACAGCGCCGTCGGTGCGGCCAAGCGAGTTCTCTCGATGCTTTGCCTCTTGCCCTCGTTGAGCTTCACGACCTGGGTCTTCTTCTCAGCAGCGCTTTTTCGAGCCCTTGCCCACGAACCTCGCCGGCCTCCCCACCCCCGCGGAGAGCCGCGCAGGCTGGACCACGCTCGGGCCTCCTCGCCGCGCCTGCCCCCCTCTGCCGCCGCCCGCGACCCGTGCGCTTGAGCCTCCCGCTGCCGCCGCCCGCGGCCCTGCCCCCCGGAGCTTCTGGATCGCCTCGCCAGCTGCCCGGCCCGCTGCGCACGGCCGCCCCGCTGCTCTTGCACCGGCCACGCACCATTCTGGAGATCGGGAAGGGGTGTGGCATCAAGGGGTACGGTGCCAACCGTGGACATGGCGCTGCTACCTACCTGCGATATAGAGAGCGTCGCCAGAGCGCCTTTGGCATGAAATTCACACCGAATACCGTACCCCCATTCCTACCTCCAGAACCATGGCCATCGCCTCAGATTCCGAAGCTGCCACTGCGCGCGCGCTGGCGCCGAACCCGGCGTGTCCTCCTCCTCCTCCTCCTCCTCCTCCTCCTCCTCCTCCTCCTCCTCCCTCCTCCTCCTCCCTCCTCCTCCTCTCCTCCTCCTCCTCCTCCTCCTCCTCCTCCTCCTCCTCCCTCCTCCTCCTCCTACGGCCACGATGCCAGAGGCCTCTCGGCGACCTCGTCGCCGCCTGCCGCCGGAGGCTTCGGGCACGCGAGCCGCCGCCGCCGCCCCGCGGCCCTCCGCGCCTCGCAGCCTGCAGCGCCGCACCGCCGCGGAGGGCCGCTGCGGTCTGACGGCGGCCTCCGCCACGCCGAGGTCCTGGCGTTAGGTCGGGCGCGTCCCTCTGCAGGAGGAGTTCGGAAGCTGGAACATATACATTACCAGTGGCGGGTGTTGTTTCAATCCCAGGACTCTTTTGAGGGTCGGGGACGACGTCGGGGCGGTGTGGTGTATACTTCTCCCCCGTTTTCCAAGGGAAACAACGAAAAATGTATACACCATGATCCCGTATACACCAGGATCCGCGTTCCTGTGCGAATTTCAACGCAGGGTTGGACAAAGCGTCAGTGTATAGAGCTCGATTCCTTAGGAATATCCTAAACAATTCCAAAAGTAGTCTGGGGACGATTTTCGTCCAAGAAGCGCCTGTAGGAGCATGCCCGCCCTAATCCTGGCGTCTCAATTTTTTCGAGCCGGGCAGTTTCGTTGAAGTCGAGCGTGTCCCTCTACAGGAGGAATATTCCAAAATAGTCAAAGAGTAGTCTGGGGACGATGTTTGTTTGTATTGTTGACTATGCTCGCCGTACTTTCTATTGTGTTTTAGAATTTGTCGTCCAAAGTCTGCCTGTTGGGGGACGTGTCCGACCTAAATTTTCGTCAGGTCTTGGGCCCTGGGACCCTCACGGATCAATCCGGCTCGAAAAATGGCGCAGAAAGATGGGGTCCATGGGGCTCCGGCCGTGATGATTTAGCGACGCTTCAATTTTTTCGCGCCGTCGGATCTCAGGGCACCCTCCGCGGCGCCTGCAGCGGCCGCCCGCGCGCGGGGTGCTACATCGCGCGCCGGTTCGCGGGGCGCGAGGCAGCGGCCGCTGGGCCAGCCCAGAGCGTCCGGCGGGGCGGATCTGGCAGCACGTGCTGGGCCAAGCTGGCCGCGGGCGCCGCGGGAACGCAGGCAGGGGTGCAAGGCGCGCGGATGAGCGACGGGCCCCGTTGCCACGCGAATGCGATTCGCTCCGCCGCCACGTCGGGCGGAGTCGGCCGCATGTGTCGCCCCGATGCGTGGATCTGGCACCCACGCGCCAGATCCGCGGATCCGTGCTCCATGTTGGCGCGTGCTCGAGTGGGCGGCGGGGTGGTTGAGGGCAGGGGTGGCCGAGGGCGGGGCGGGGTGCGGAAGCGAGGGGAGGAAATGTACTGGTCCCTGCCTCGCGGTCTGGGGCTCGAGCCATACGTGGTGTTGACCACGCTTTCTGCACAGACCCCCCGTCTCATGGCGCCAAAATCGCAGAGCGGATTCCGCTCGGAAAGCGATGGGATGGGCCCGGAGTGTCCTGGAGAATATCGTTTCGGATTTCGAGGTGAATTTCGTGCGGGTTTTTTGGGGGCCAGGAACGAAGACTCGAAACTCACGTCGTTGTTCACTCGCCGTTTCGGGGCTCTGCATGGACAGAACTTCGCGCGAAGATCCGCTGCAGCACGTCTCCAGGGTCGGTGCAATGACCCGTCGCGCCGTCGCGCAGCAGCGCGCGAGATGCGGGCGCCCCCTCCCCGCTGCTGCTGTTAAGTCGGGCCCGTCCCTCTACAGGAGGAATTTCCAAAGATAGTCAAAGGATGGTCAGGGGACTATTTTGGGGGCATTTTTTCCTATTTCGGAGTATTGTTTGGGGTATGTTTCATTTTTCGTCGAAACTCCCCCTGTATAGAGGGACAGGCCCGACTTCATCCTGCTGCCCCTCGCCGCGCCCGCCCGCGCCCGCGGCGGCGGCGGAGGGCGCGGGCGCGCCGAGCGCGGGGAGGAGGCGCACGCTCTGCTGCAGACTGCCCGGCAGGGCGGCGAGCGAGCGGCCAGCCAGTCTCGAGTCGGGGGGGATCTTCGAAGATAGCTATTTTCAAATCTGCGTATTCATATTGCGTATTCAATGTTTGAGTACGTCTTCATGTCTTAGAAGGAAAACAATGAGATGTTGGTCAAAAATCCACGACAGGAATATTCAAACATAGTTGTTTATATGTGTATATATGTAAAAATACATATACATATACATGTACCTATACATATGCATATGCATGTGCATGTACATACACACATACATATATATATATATATATATATGTATGTATATGTATATGTATATATAATCATATATATGTGTGTGTATTCATATATTCATGTATTCCTATCTGAATATATGAATATATTCATATATTCATATGTTCATATATTCATAGATTCACATTTTCATATACATATATTCCTCTTCCTATATTTTTATAAGCCCATGCGGGGGGAAAACCCATCACCCCCCGCCCCCCCCCCCCAAATCCGGACTCCGGGGACCTGGGGCTTTGGGGCCCTCCAGACGGGCCTCGAAGCGGCCACCAGGCCTCGCAAGGCGTTTTGCCAAGCCTTCCCAGCACACTTAGGGCGATCAGGGGGGTCATCGGAGACGTCCCAGAGACCCCCACGACAGCACAAGAGCGCTCCAAGAGTGACCGACGTGACCTCAAGATGGCCCAAGAGGCCTCCAGGACGGCCCCAAAGAGGCCTCCAAGAGCACTCCCAAGAAGGCCCCCCGAGGCAAAAATCATTGATTTTCTGTTGGTTTTTGGTGAATTTTGGGGTTCTCCTCTTTCCGGCTTCCCGACGCTCCAAGACGGCAGTCTTCCGGGCGTCCGAAGCCGCCTGGGAGGCTCCCAAATCGCCCCACAACCATCCGAAAGGGCTTCCAGGCAGTCCAAGAGAGCCCCAAAACGGCACAACACGGGTCCAAGATGGCCCTCAGAGAGCCCCATGGCGGCCCAAGATGGCCCAAAGACACCCTCCGAAGGATTCCAAATCGTGATTCGGTCGTTCAGGGAGACGGTGGTTGGAGGCAGTGTGGCCCGAGGAAGCCCCCGGAGGCCCCCAGAATACCCGAAAGAAGGCCTTAAGAAAGCCTTAAGAAGGCCCGAAACAACTTTTGTGAGGCCCCTAGAGGCTCTCCAAGGAGGAGCCTCCGCAAAAAAGAGCTGAGGAGGATGGGGAGAATGCGCAGGGTATGGCGAAAATAAGGAACAATAAGCATGGAGGAAGGCTAACGAATAACATCATTATAGCGTCGATGCTGGAAAAGGCAACCAGGAGTTATTGCTAAATTGTCGGCTTGACCTTCCTGCCATTGCGCCTGCATTCCAAACTTCAAGGACCAAGGTGCATGGCGCGAAGCGCCACTGCAGTCTTGTATATGTATATGTATATATATATATACATATATCTT